ACTTAATTGTTCAGTTTTCAAGATTACTTTTAGAGTGTACTTCCAATCTTACCCTTCATTAGTTAGTACTGGAATTAGTGATTAATTAATATTTAGTTATTTTAATCATAAATTTGACAATAATTAATAAGGGTAAAAATGAAAAACTATGTTAAATTTATGTCTTAATCTACTTTTCTTAAAGGGTGTGAAACACCTCAAAAATTAAATTAATATGGAATGGAGGGAGTAATTAACCATGATTAAAAAGATATTTAAGATTCCCAACTTTAGTAAGAAAATATTCATTTTCCAATTTTTTAAGAAAAAAATGGATTTACCTCAATTAAATAGCATCAAGCTTTTGATATAAAAAGAGTTCTTCTATAGTTTAACAACTTGAGTCACGATAAAATAATATATACATTTTTAAAAAAAAATTATATCTATTTTTTGGAAAAGTTTGTCTAACTTTTTGTTTACTTTGGTATTTTATGACAAAGTAATTTTCAATACTTTTTATTTAATATCTGAATGCTAAAAAAAATTCTATTTAATGATTTACAATATTTTTCTTCGTAAAATAACTTATTTAAATGTTTATTTAAATTGACAGAAATTAAGTCTATGAAGAAACATTTTTTTTCGGTGAATGAAAAAACTATAGATAACGAAAATGATTTGAACTATGATGCAAAAATTGTGAGATGGTTTTTTTTATAGCAATAATTAGATAGATTTAAATGGTAATATATATCCTTTTAATCATGATTAAGGTATTTGATTACTTAAAAATATGCACCATTGATATTTAAATAATACAAGTGTCACACATCTAATTAGGAACTTGGGGAAAATGGAGAGAAGAGAAATGGAGAGGAGCCGGATCCAAGTTCCCCCGGTTGAGCACCGATTTAATACCCATACCTCATATACAAGTCTCCCCCTACTTTTTATTTATTAACTTAAAAGTCATTTAAGTTTGACTTTTTATTTTTGACTGAAAAACTACGTTTTTTAAGTCAATCTAAACGGGCTCTTACTTTTGGTTTTTGACTTATTTTAAGTCATTTTTGACCTTGCCAAACACTTTCTAACTTATTTTAAGTTATTTTTTATATTTGTCAAACACGTCCAGAAATAAAAAACCGACTTAAAAGTAGATTTGACCAACTTTTAAGTCAATCCAAACGGGCTCTTACTTTTGGTTTTTGACTTATTTTAAGTCATTTTTTGACCTTGCCAAACACTTTCTAACTTATTTTAAGTTATTTTTTATATTTGTCAAACACGTCCAGAAATAAAAAACCGACTTAAAAGTAGATTTGACCAACTTTTAAGTCAATCCAAACACCCTCTTATAACTGACATGTTGAGTCGATAACATTTCAAATTAATCGAATTGAACGGAACCAACCACATACCCAAACTAGCCCACTTACGATAAGGGTAGATTTTGGATCTAAATTCAAATGGCGACAAAATTGTTATATTTCATTAATCCATTTACAACAAATAACATGTTTGAACCAAATTCAAAACAACGTTAAAACTCACTACTTGTCATCCTTACTAAAAATAAATAATTCATAGTACTTGTTATTTGTCAAATATAGATCACGAAGCATTTTTCTGCTTTTGTCAAGTTTATAATTAGCATATAGTTCCAGCTGAAATTCCTCCCATAATTTCGATGTGTACAAGACTTGTTTCCGTGTGATCTTATATGTTATATGTTTGAGCTGTGAAAATACTAATGCTTACAGTAGGATTGATTGTGTGCATCACATCCCTTGAGATGTGCGTGAACGTGAGATGCTTTGTGCATTGAACTGTCTCTAAAACCCCTATATCTATCTCTTCTTCTCCTTGAAGTTCTTGTTGTCTCTTGTGGTCCAAGGTGGTACTCTTATATATAGACATTCAGTAGTATTACCATTTTAGTATTAGCAATTGTTATTCAATGCTTATGTATACATGTCCATGATTCTTTATTGCAATTACAGAAAAGAAATAAAAAGGCTACTCATTTCATTATTAGTAAAAGATGTTAGGATTGGAGTGAGAGGAATATTTGAACTTAGTTGAAGTGAGCCATGAAATATTTACATGTTTAAGGCCAAAGACTTCATCTTGAAGTAGTAAGAGGGCTAGGGTCAACAACAACAACATACCCAGTGTAATCCTACGAGTGGGGTTGGGCTAGGGTCTACAACAATGTAACAACACCTAGTGTAATCCTGAGGTATGTCTAGTATAGAGTGTACGTGGAGCTTACACCTACCCCGGGAGGTAGAGAGGAAGAGGGCTAGGGTCTATGGAAGCAAAAACCAAGAGTTCTTGATTACTAACTAACATGTTCATTTCTTCTTCATCCAAAGTCACCCATGCTTCAATTCCATTATCACACCTACTTGATTCCATAAGTATAATAAGATTCATGAAAAATGAACACTTTGAACTTATACTACTCACCCATATTGGTTTTCCAAATCCAAAATCAATGTCATAGAATCCAAACTTGCACCAACTACTAAAACCATAGTGATTTGCACCTTTTGAGCAAAAATCTCCAATCTCCTTAAGAGACTTCCTCATCAAACTACACCCTTCATCGCCTCGTAGCCTTTTAACAAAACAATCATCAATCCTCAATATAGATCTCCTCACTTGATTCACCAAATCAGACAACACCACATCACTTTTCGCGGTATTATTATTTTTTGCACTAGATAACCAAATAAGATTTCCAAGTATGTTCTCTGGCAAAGCTGGTGCTGCTCTTTTCCTCAAGTTCACAATGTGTGTTAGCAGTGAATTAGACTTCTTATTAGAAGCTATTAAACATTTCCATATAAAAGATGAGACAACCTCAACTTTAGTAGGATATTTAATATGTGCACTTGTTGACATTCTTTTAAGGTTGTCTATAACAGAGTCATTAAAAACAAACCTTTTTGTAACAAAATTTCCTTTCTTGAACATTGAACTCCACATTGTCATAGATGTGTCTCTTAACCACAAATCATCACATGGAAAAAAGTAATTAGCCATTAAATTAGGACATGTTACTAATCCAGACCAATTTTTAAGAAATGTACTAAGTCCTGCTCCATCAAGAACCTTATGTGCTATACATAAACCAATTGCAATTCCACCACATTCAAAAACATTAATTTGAATGTTTGTCACATAATCTCCTACACCTAAGACCTTAAAAGGAGGTTGACAAGGAAGAAATTGACCAATTGATTCGAGGTTTGGTTCGTTTAGGTAATCGATTAGATGGCAATTAACATTAGTTGTAACATAATTAACTCCTTGATCATTGCAATCAATAGAGAGTTCATCTTTAAACCTCCCTGCTAGGGGATAAAAGGATGACAACGTTTGAGCTAGTGATTTCTTTAACAATGATGATTTTTCGCGGAGTTTAACGTCGTTAAGATTTGGATAAAAGAGTACAATTGGTGCATAAGGAGCTGGAATGAGTTGATCTAAGAGACAAAGATTGAATTTTTTTAGGTGATTTGGTGTTGGAGATGAAGGTTGGATATTTTCTCTTGAAATAACTTGAACTTTCATCATATTTGGCTTATGAAAAAGTTGAATAATTGGAAGAGCTTATAAAGATAGTTTTTTTTGGGAGACATAATAGATGCTAATTAGCATCTTTATTAAACTTTGTCATATACATAAATGTTGAAAAAGGAATCATTAATTATAGAAATCTTAGAAATTAATATATCTCTAGTTATAGTTTTGTTAATGGTCTATGGATAGCAATGACATGTTGATGATAACAACTATAAAATAAAAATTGAAAAGCACTATACATTTGATGGTAATTAATGTCTATGTAAGATTGATCTAATTTGTGTGCCCTTGATTTTCAGGTATGCAAACAAAGTTCTATATCGATATTTAGTAGTCGTTTAGAATAATAAGTTATACATTATAGTTAAGGTGCGAGAATATTGTAAATAATATCATTTTTTTGGATAAATCGTACAGACTGTACTCAATTCGAAATATTCAGAACCAAGCAACATGACAAATTGCCGCTGCACCATAATCAAACTGCAGAATCTGCATTAGTCTTACTCTTTGGCAGTATCGTTAGAGTACATTAGAAACTACTTTTATTAATGCTATCATTAATCCATGAGTGATTAAGAAAGATTTGGTGCTTGTATAAACAACACAAATATTCTTTTTGGGGAAAATTCTATGTTTCTTATTGAAATGGAACTGTTTTTAATGTTTGATTGAATTGATTTTCGTTTTATATAGGTTGGAAAATGATCTTTCTCATCTCTTAGGGTGCGATCTTTTTTGAACTTTGTTAATGTGAAATGTTTTGTGCATCGAACTGTCTTTTCTTTAAGATGTTATTCATTTATCTCATCAATACAAGTTTGTGAACATATTTTAATAGTGAACTTGTTATATTATTTAACTTATGAATTCAATATATAAATACTTGTTTGAATTTTTGCATTTTTTCGTATATATTCATGTGTCAAATTAATTTTAAAAATATAATATAAGGTTTGATTGAAGATGTAGCTATTATGAGAGTTGTGTAGAATATATTTTTAGGTTCAATATTGTCTCTTTTAATTGATTTCCTCTATGTTCAAATTTTGTATGAATAATAAGTTATAACTTTTGCAATATAATTTTGTGGGTACTAAAATTATATTTATATTATGTCTCTAATTGTCTAGAGGAACTAAATTATATCTTGTAAGATATATTTGTGAGTTATGAACTGAACTTATGTCTCTCACAACACAAGTTTGGTAGAATTTACGCGACATAACTTATTAATTTGTGTATATTATGATACGAAAATATAAGCTTTTGTCTTGCGATTTTTTGTTTTTTCAATGTGATAGATATTTTTAACCACTTTTTATTACTTAAAGGGTTGAAGGACACAAATTAAAGAACATTAATTTTTGAGGGCTAAAAGTTACACACCACCCCAAAATAATGACATATGGCCCTAAAATTATGGGCCGGGTTGAAGTTTTTAGTGCTTCACATTTTAGTTAATTTCACAACAGAAAATTACTCTTAATTCGAAACCTAGATTTTCCATTTTCCCCTTTAAGAGTGATCACGGAAATTGGAGAAGTATAATCGGTGAGTATTACGAATATCAGTCTGCAATTTTACTGATTTATGTTTCATATATACTAGATTAGTAGCACTTTTATTGATATGTAGATGTCCTGATTACTGTAATGATCTGCTGTTTGCTATGTCTTCATATGCATATCACTTGTTTGATAAAAGTCCCCTTAAAAAGAAGGAAAAATAGAGTTAAAATTCACCATCCAATTACATATATGGTGTTGCCTCGTGGAGGTAAAGGTCTGCCTACACACTATCCTCCTGAGACGCCAATTGTGGGATTACACGGGGTATGTTGTTGTTGTTCTTGTTTACTAGTTAGTTACATGGTGTAGAATCAAATAAGAATTACCAAATCTTCAACTTCCTAAATTATAACAACACAATTAGACAAAATTGAAGTTAGCAACGCGCCAATACCATGGTGAGAGAACTCTAATTCGTTGTAATTTCCTTATAATTATAAACAGGAACTCAACTCCAACCAAATCAAAATATCAAATTTAGAGGATGTATTAATGTTAGTACAGATTAATGATATTAGGAAAAATCTGGTTTTAAGTTATAAGCTTTTATATGAAAATATTAAAAGACATATATGGATAACAACCGTTAGTCTAACTTGTTGGTTTATGTTGTGAGGACTTGATCCCTCTTCAATTAAAAGTGGTAATAGGTATCAAAATTAAGACAATATTAATGGTCTAATTAATGAAGATATTTTGATGCATTCACTAACAAAGTAATTATTATTATTATTGTAGTAATACAAAATTAAGATGTACCTCTAGTCTACGTCCTCATCACGCAACCTTTCGTTGAACATTGAAAGGGAAAAATTTCTGATGTAGAAGTCCTCTCAATAGAAGGGAATTGGGAATTGGGGGGAGTTTGTTAGGGATCAGGGTAATATTGAAAACTTTGTTAATGATGGGGGTATATTTAGCCGCATAGTACAATGCAGGATAAATCTGACCAATATTTAAAGGGTAAATTTGGCTCTTTTCCCTTAAAAGAATGGTCCGTGGGTCCTAAGTAAATATGATTCTAGACCATTTTTCAGTATAAACCATATCTACATAGCTATACCTACAACCAGGTGCGCGATCATGCAGGTAGCGAGAAGGATCACACCCCAGAGGGTAAACCAAGTGATGTGTATAACAACGAAAACATACTAAAAACTAAGTTATAAGTTTAAACTTTAGTTATAGGGTTCAACAACCATATTGCAAAGATTGAGCGACTCTAATGTTTGACTTAATCAAAACTAAACAAAAAACTGAATTTGTTTTTTTTTCAAATTAGTTTTAAAATGCAGCTTCATTCAAATTAAGACAAGAATGAAAAGAACATCTAAAAGGGAGCCTTTTTGGTAATGTAGATGCCAATATAAGCCACCTAATAGCATGTTAAATATTGGGCAACAGTTTAGCATTAAAAAAAACAGGTCAAAGATAGTTCATTTTCCTGATAAAATATATCCTTGAGTGATCCATGTAAAGTAGAATATGTCATTCATGGGTTAACATTCTACTCCAGCAATTTCTAGTGTGTCAATTATAACTTTTCTCACTAACCTATCTTCTTCACAGATTAAGAAATTCTGACATCTTTATTGTGCAGAAACTATTCTTTTAGGGGTCGTTTGGTTTAAAGACAAGTTATACAAAGATTATAATGCAGATATACGTTGTACCGAACTTGTAGTACTAACCTATCTTCTTCACAGATCTATTCTCTTTTAACAATTCTGAGAAAGTGTACCTCCTTCTTTATTGTTTGTTTTATAAGACTTCCTTCTCGTTCTCGGTGAAGGTATCAGAGCTGCTATAGAATCAGCATCTTATTCTTTAATGCCAAGCTTCAAAATGATTGGATTTATCTGTTTTTATTAACTTTGTTGATGAAACCTTTCTTTTGATTAAATGAGCTTTTTGTGCACTGTGTATGTAGGAAGCATTCATCCCTTTTTTCTGGAAAGTATGACAAACTGGTCAGAACTTCCAGGTGAACTACTGGTTTTGATAGCAAAGCGTGTTACAGTGATGGAGGATTTCATTAGATTTGGTGTTGTTTGTAAATCATGGAGAAGTGCTGGTACCAAAGAAAATTTTGATGTGTTAGCGCCTCAAGTTCCTTTGCTTATGCTGGCTGCTAATGTGGACGACGATTATCGGAAATTCTACTCTCTTTCCAAGGAGAAAATTTCTTGCAGAGTTTTCCTCCCAGAAGCTAGAGGGAAATTGTGTTTTCCAACGCAGGGGTGGTTTTTCACAGTGAACTATACAGCAGGTACAGGAGAGATGATGTTGTTGCACCCATTTTCACGCGCCCAAATTCAGCTTCCTTCGCCTACTGGCTTGAGAGATCAGGGATCAGAACGTCTCTCTGTGACTATCAACCATGTTGTGTTATCTGCTAGCCCGTCCCTAGCATCTGACTATGTTCTGATGATTTGCTATGGTCGCCCTATATATCATTTGGCTTTTTGGCGACCTGGAGACCTCGGTTGGACCAAAATTCATATTCTTGAAGAAACTGGTGCTTTTGTCCATATCCAATACTTTAAAGGACAACTTTATGTCAACCATGGGTGGAATCTAGTCTCAGTTATTGACATCCCAGAGCCTAGCAATCCTCAGCCTGTTGTAAAACCACGAGAGGTTGTTGAGATACGTGATCTATCGATTGATGCAAGCCGGTACTTTCTCATTGAAGTGTCAGGTGAACTGTTATTTGTTCAACAGTTGATGATTACAGAAAATGTACCAAATGGGTGGAAGACAAATAAATTTCGACTATTCAAAATTGATGTAATCAGAGGAGAAGCCAAAGAGATTAAAAGCTTGGGGGACAAAGCAATTTTTGTGGGGTGTAATGCATCAATTTCCGTCGACTCTTCCAAGTTAGTTGGAGTGAAGCCTAATCATATCTATTTTACCTATGATTGGATATGTTTGTTCTGCCAAGGAGATGATTCGAGAGAGATAGGGGCTTACAATCTCGAAGATGAAACCATTCAATCCTTGAATCAAGGCATTTCTGGTGTTGATCCGGTATCCCCCGCGATTTGGGTTACCCCATCATTCTGATATCAAAATGGGATTCCATTACATGTTGAAGTATAACTCTTTTAATTGTACTTTCTCTGAATGGTTTTGGTCTGTGTGATATTCAGTATGCTATTACTCTTTAAGGTTGTCTATAGCAGAGGCATTGCAAACAAAACTTTTTGTGATAAATGACTCCACATTGTCATAGATGTGTCTCTTAATTAGTCATTAAGATTTGGATAAAAGAGTACATTCGGTGCAAAAGGATCTGGAATTAGCTGATCCAAGAGCAAAAAGATTGATTTTTTTTTTTAGGTGATTTGGTGTTGGAGATGAAGGTTGGATATTTTCTCTTGAAATGACTTGAACTTTCATCATATTTGGCTTGTGATCACAACTATGAATTAAATATTGAATATCACTATATATTTGATAGTGATCATCCAATGTGTATACATATAGGAACTGTGAATCAAACGTTTTTTCCTGTACTATGAGATTTTGGGGTTCAAATCTCATTAGAGGCATAAAAAGAACATTCGTTGATTTCTTCTGTAAGAAGCAATTAAGAGAAACCGGTGGATTAGTTAAATTATACGACCTTCTTAAAAAAATTGCATTTGCCATTGAATAGTTTAGTCAGCATGTTACTAAATTAGTTGATTATTTTAACGAACAATTTTGCCTCTTAAATATCACAAATCAAAAATCAACCAATAATATTGACTCTTTTATTTGAACGGTGCTAGTAGTATGAGTAGTCTACTTAATCTTCAATTTTGAAAAAATTCTTTACTTATCGACATTTGTTACTTTGGATAAAATTTGAATTGAAAGTGTCTAAATATAAAATCATTTTATTATATGCTCAATTGCTAATTTGGAATAGGTCATAATTCCAATATCCAATATCAGTCCCTTAAATTTGTTATTATACTAGACAATCCTATCATGCCAACAAGACAGTCAATCTTGTTATCACGAACGTATCTGTCACTTGGTTATTATTGCTACGAATGAGTAATTTGTCTGTCCAAGTGATTGCCAAAACTCAACATATGCAATGTCTTCATGAATGCAATTCGGTCATAAGACAAAATATCAACATTTGAAAAGCGAAGTATAAGATTGAGACTTGAGAGACATTGTTTACAAGAATTTTCTCAAGTGATGTCTTTGTCAGGAAGAGTAAAATACGCGTTAGGGCATCTCCAACCCTAAACTCTATTTTACTCTTCAAATATAGAGTTTTCTATTTTTTCAGACAACCAACTTCAACTCAATTCTCTATTTTACTCTCTAAAAAATAATCTTTTTCTCTGTCCTCAATATTAGATTATTATTTCTATTCATTCTTATTTTCTTATTTCTTTCTTTCTTTTTCCCAAATAATTACTTTATATAATTTTGATGTGATATAAAATTTTATTTTTTCAAATTTTTTATTTAATATAAAGTTATATTTTATTCTAAATTACTAAATAACATAAATTTCAAGAAAATATTATATAATATACAAATTAATAGACAAATTCAAATAATAATGAAATACAATTACATAAACATGTACATAAACACTCAACTTTCAAAATTATTACGTTGTTCCTATAAATGTTCTATTAATGCATTACGGAGTTTAAAATGAGTATTTTTGTCCTTATTTTTTTTATGTCTAGTTAAAAATTGTTCAAATTAGAGATTTTCGTCTACCATCATACCCTAACTTTTTTTTAATAGTGCTAAATTTGAAAACGACCTACCGGATTACTAAATTATTGTTATGATAAATTAATTATTATGCTATGTAAGATCTTCTCGCCTCACCCGTTTGGGCTTATTGTATTGTATTTTGTAATTAACTTATTATGTTATGTATTGTATTTTTAAATTGAGTTTTTCATCTTATCATTTTAATTTTGTGAATTATTTATAGTGAAAATTAATAATAAAATAAAATGATATTATTGACGAAAATTAAAAAATAATAATTAAAATATACAAAATATCAACATCTGAAAAGCTAAGTATTAAATTGAGACTTGAGAGAGATGGTTTACAAGAATTTGACGCGTTATACTATTTTTTTCTTTGACCAAAATTTTACACCATTGAATTTTTCTGATAAGATATTTAATGAGAAAACTAGCAAGACCGACGTTTACTTTTTGTTTCTTGGTGTCCAAGTTTAGCAAGAGTAGTAATTGGCTCCATCTTCATGTAATACAAAACATATTTTCTCTCTTCTTGTGTTCGGTGAGTATTACGAATCTCTGCCTGTAATTTGCTGATTTATGTTTCATACATATTAGATTAGTAGCGTTTTTATTGATATGTTATGCTAGGGGCGGTACAATAGATGTGGAACCCCTTCGATTTGATTAGTTCGTATGTTTAGTTTTTCATTGAACCTATTATTAAAAATCCTGATTTCGCCGCTTCACTCATATGTAGATGTCCTGTTTACTATATACTTTGTTGTTTGGATTATCTTCCTATGCACACCACTTATTTGATAAAAGTCCCCCTTGAAAAAGAAGGGAAAGGAGTGAAATTTACCATTTTCTTACTATATAAATATAAATGTGTGTGTGGGTGTAGCCTCTATACCTCCACAAGGTAGGATTAAAGGTTTGCGTACATCCTACCTCCTTAAGTTTACTTGTGGGATTATATTGGGTATGTTATTGTTGTTGTTTATGAGTTACATGGTGTAGAACCAAAACTTCCTAGTATAACACAATTAGACAAATATTGAGGGAAAATAACTTGTCGTTTGTCCTTTATAATTTGAATAGAAGAATTTATCCGTGTGATATATATAATGTGTTGAATTCATATTGATCAATATAAAGTAAAGTATATGGTTGTAAGAAGCTGGCATAACATGGATATACATGTTCTAATATTTGCTAATATGGTTGTAAGAAGCTTATGAGTAGGTGTACAAAATGATTGAGTTTATCTGTTTTTATAAACTTTGTTGATTAAATGAGCTTTCTGTGCCCTATGTATGTAGGAAGCATTCATCCCTTTTTCTGGGAAGTATGGCGAACTGGTCAGAACTGCCATACGAACTACTTGTGTTGATAGCAAAGCGTGTTACAGTGATGGAGGATTTCATTAGATTTGGTGTTGTTTGTAAATCATGGAGAAGTGCTGGCACCAAAGAAAATTTTGATGTTTTAGCGCCTCAAGTTCCTTTGCTTATGCTGGCTGCTAAAGCGGATGATGATTATCGAAAATTCTACTCTCTTTCCAAGGAGAAAATTTCTCGCACAGTTTTCCTCCCAGAAGCTAGAGGGAGACTCTGTTTTCCAACACAGGGATGGCTTTTCACGGTTAACTATACAACAGGTACAGGAGAGATGACTTTGTTGCACCCTTTTTCACGCGCCCAAATTCAGCTTCCTCCGTGTACTGGCTTGAGAGATCAGGAATCAAAACGTCCCTATGTGACTATCAACCATGTTGTGTTATCTGCCAGTCCATCCGTAACGTCTGACTATGTTCTGATAATTTGTTATGGTCGCCCTACATACCGTTTTGCTTTTTGGCGACCTGGAGACCTCTGTTGGACCAAAATTCCTATTGGTGAAGAAACTTATGCATTTTACCATATGATTCAATACTTCAATGGACAACTTTATTTCAACAATGGGCGGTGTCTAGTTTCAGCTATTGACATCCCAGAGCCTAGCAATCCTCAGCCTATTGTAAAACAACGAGAGGTTGTTCAGATGATGGGTTTATCGACTCATGCAAACCAGCGCTTTGTCTTTCTCATTGAAGTGGCAGGTGAACTATTATTTGTTCAACAATTGGTGATTACGAAAGATGTAGCAAATGTGTGGAAGACATATAAATTTCGACTATTCAAAATAGATGCAATCAAAGGAGAAGCAAAAGAGATCAAAAGCTTGGGAGACAAAGCAATTTTTGTGGGGTGTAATGCATCAATTGCCATCGACTCTTCCAAGTTAGTAGGAGTGAAACCTAATCATATATATTTTACCTATGATTGGACATGTGTGTTCTCCGAAGGAGATGATTCGAGAGAGATAGGAGCTTACAATGTCGAAGATGAAACCATTCAACCCTTGAATCAAGTCATTTCTGGTGTTCATCTTGTATCTCCGGCGATTTGGGTTACCCCATCATTCTGATATCAAAATGGGACTCCACTTACCTCCATTACATGTTGAAGTAAAACTCATTTAATTGTACTTTCTCTGAATGGTTTTGGTCTGTGTGATATTCAGTATGCTATTACTCTTTAAGGTTGTCTATAGCAGAGGCATTGGAAACAAAACTTTTTGTGACAAATGAACTCCACATTGGCATAGATGTGTCTCTTGATTTGTCATCAAGATTTGGATAAAATAGTACAACTGGTGCATAAGGATCTGGAATTAGCTGATCTAAGAGAAAAAGATTGAATGTTTTAGGTGATTTGGTGTTGGAGATGACATTTTCTTTTGAAATGACTTGAACTTCCATCATATTTGGGTTGTCATCACAACTATGAATTAAATATTGAACTTCACTATTTATCTTCTCTTTTGTACTATGAGATTTTGTGGTTCAAATCTCATTAGAGGCAAGAAAAGAAGAGCACTCGTTGATTTCACATTATAAAATAGATTAGATGTTTTCTCTTGTATAGCAACCTTTCTAAAAAAAAATTGCATTAAACATTGAATAGTATAGTCAGTGAGTTACCAAATTAGTTGAATATTTTGCCTCTTAAATTATCACAAATAAAAAATCAACCAATAATATTGACTCTTTTAAATTGAACGAGTGCTAGTAGTATGAGTAATCTACTTAGTTAATCTTCAATTAGAAAATACTAATGAAAAAAATCTTTAGTTATTGACATTTGTTACTCAAGCTTGATAAAATTTGAATGGGACGTGTCTAAATATAGAAACATTTTTTCATAGGTTCAATTGCTAATTTGGAACAAGTCATAATTCGAATATCTAAATAAATTTACTTAAAAAATTAAGCGGTTCTCAATATATTAAGGCTTAATACATAATTGGATGAGCTCAAAGACTGACCTCTCTAAGTGATTATCAACAATGTATTTGGATGAGCTCAGGGTCGGACCCACATGGAGTCCGCCGGATGCTTGAGCATCCATTAACCTCATCTCGAAATATTTATATCAATATAGAAATTAAGAGGTATTTGTATAATATAAAACATAGAGCACCCAATAAACATATGATCTAATTGGTCTATTGGCTCTTGGATGGGTTCCTAAGGCTCTTTTAGTGTTGTTGAGCATGCGTTCGAATTTCATTGTTAATATCAACATTTGGAAAGCTTAGGGCATCTCCAACCCAAACATCAAATTTGGTGTCAGCACTATTTTTGGTGTAATCAACTCCAATCCACTGCACCAAATTTTACACAAAAAAAAATATTTTTCTCTCTTCATTATTATATTATTATTTCTTATTTCATAAAACAAATTCTTTTTAAAACATTTACCATATATAAAATTCTTATTATTTCCTTTTATAATCGTTTAGTATAAAAGTGATGTGTTTGTAGGAAAAGTGAAATACGCGTTGTACTATTCTCTCTTTTAACAAAAAGGTTTTATCCCACTAAAATATGGTTTCTTCATTAAATTTTTTTCTTGGTGTTCCTTTCCAAGGTAGCGAGAGTAGTAACGAAGTAATTGGCTTATAGCTCTCTCTTATTGTTAGTTTTTTTTATTTTATAACAAAACCAGATTTTCCAAATTCCATAATCCCCTTTACTTGCAGACCAATCACGGAAATTGGACAAGTGTGTTGGGTGAGTATTACGAATCTCAGCCTCTAATTTACTGATTTGTGTTTTATACATACTAGATTAGTAGCATTTTTATTGATATGTAGATGTCCTGTTTTTTGGATTATCTTCCTATGCACACCACTTATTTGATAAAAGTCCCCCTTGAAAAAGATGGGAAAACAGTGAAATTTACCATTTTCTACTATATATATACCTCAAGGTAGGGTTAAAGGTTTGCGTACATCCTATCCTCCCGAACCCCACTTGTGGGTATGTTATTGTTGTTGTTTACGAGTTACATGGTGTAGAAACAAACAAGAATTACCAAATCTCCAACTAACTAAAATCTTATAACACAATTAGACAAATATTGAGGAAAAATAACTTGTCGTTTGTCCTTTATAATTTGAATAGAGAGAAAATTTATACGTGCGATATATAGAATGTGTTAAATTCATATTGATCGATATAAAGTAAAGTATATGGTCGTAAGAAGCTTATGAATAAGTGGTGTAACATGGATATACATGTTCTAATATTTGCTAAAAGGGGCTGTCTTGATTAGAGGAGATTCTTCAAACAAAAGAAAAGGACTTGAAATATTTATGCAATGAATTTTAGGGACATCAAATTGTGTGCTGCTATAAATGTATATAGATGATCCAAGGAGTAAGTGTAGATTATGTTTTATTTAGGAGCATTGTTGCATTTGTACTCTGGCTAATTTTTTGGGAAAATGATTTGAAAGAAATCTTTGGATGCCTCCTTACAACTCATTATGAGTCTTCTTTCTTGTGTCCTGTTCTCCTGTAGCAATTCTGAGGAAGTGTTCAAAATGATTGAGTTTATCTGTTTTTATTAACTTTGTTGATTAAACTTTTCTCTTGATTAGATGAGCTTTCTGTGCCCTATGTATGTAGGAAGCATTCATCCCTTTTTCTGGGAAATATGGCGAACTGGTCAGAACTTCCATACGAACTACTTGCTATGATAGCAAAGCGTGTTACAGCGATGGAGGATTTCATTAGATTTGGTTTTGTTTGTAAATCATGGAGAAGTGCTGGTACCAAAGAGAATTTTGATGTGTTAGCGCCTCAAGTTCCTTTGCTTATGCTGGCTGCTTATGTGAACGATGATTATCGGAAATTCTACTCTCTTTCCAAGGAGAAAATTTCTTGCAGAGTTTTCCTCCCAGAAGCTAGAGGGAGACTGTGTTTTCCAACACAGGGATGGCTTTTCACGGTGAACTATAGGACAAGTACAGGAGAGATGACTTTGTTGCACCCTTTTTCACGCGCCCAAATTCAGCTTCCTCCGTCTACTGGCTTGAGAGATCAGAGATCAAAACGTTTCTATGTGACAATCGACCATGTTGTATTATCTGCTAGCCCATCCCTAACATCTGACTATGTTCTGATAATTTGTTATAGTCGCCCTACATACCGTTTTGCTTTTTGGCGACCTGGAGACCTCTGTTGGACCAAAATTCCTATTCTTGAAGAGACCGGTGCATTTTACCATATGCAATACTTCAATGGACAACTTTATGTCAACCATGGGCGGTGGGTCTCAGTTATTGACATCCCAGAGCCTAGCAATCCTCAGCCTGTTGTAAAACCACGAGAGGTTGTTGAGATACATGATCTATCGATTGATGCAAGCCGGTACTTTCTCATTGAAGTGTCAGGTGAGCTGTTATTTGTTCAACAATTGATGATTACAGAAGATGCATCAAATGGGTGGAAGACAAATAAATTTCGACTATTCAAAATTGATGTAATCAGAGGAGAAGCCAAAGAGATTAAAAGCTTGGGAGACAAAGCAATTTTTGTGGGGTGTAATGCATCAATTGCCATCGACTCTTCCAAGTTCGTTGGAGTGAAGCCTAATCATATCTATTTTACCTATGATTGGACATGTGTGTTCTCCCGCGGAGATGATTCGAGAGAGATAGGGGCTTACAATCTCGAAGATGAAACCATTCAATCCTTGAATCAAGGCATTTCTGGTGTTGATCCTGTGTCCCCCGCGATTTCGGTCTCCCCATCATTCTGATATCAAAATGGGATTCCATTACATGTTGAAGTTTAACTCTTTTAATTGTACTTTCTCTGAATGGTTTTGGTCTGTGTGATATTCAGTATGCTAGTACACCTTTCTGATCAAATATTGGACATCACTCAGTTGAGGTGTCTAAGTTAAACATTGTCTTTTGTACTATATGGGATATTCGGGTTCAAATCTCATTAGAGCCAAAAAAGAGTTTGATTTCTTCTCATGTGTTCAATTCTTGGTGATGGCGATGGATTAATTAAATTATACAAGTTAATTTGGATACCAAGTATTACAAAATAGAGTTAGACGTTTTCTCTTGTATTGCATTTGACATTGAATAGTCTAATTAGTGTGTTATAGTTGGCACTTTTAATTGAACGTGCTATTAGTATGAGTAATCTACTTAGTTAATCTTCAATTAAAAAATCATTTACGAAAGTGCAGCAGAATTCAAATGCTGGATTTTTGATAGTTAGTTGATTGTTGACATTCTGTTTTTTCTTATATTTCTTCTATGATATTCACAGTTTTTTCTTATATTAAAAAGTGGATTTGTGTACATGCCCAAATTAACTAAAGGCGACGATGACATCGAACACACGACCCTAACTTAAACAAAAAGTGACGATGACATCGTAGATATATAAAGAATAAATTATTCATGAATAAACTTGATAAGACGTTTGGTTGACAATTTAAAAATCCGCATAAGTAATATATGTAAAAGTTATGAGAGAATCTATGTATTATTTTATGCAAGATAGAAGCTGAAATAACTAATATATGTGTAACTTTTATATATGAATAAGTAACTATTCCAGTATAAAGTATAAACTAATACATAAATTTCCTCAAAACTAATTCCTACATTAGTAATAACCTAAATAATTCTAATCAGCCAGCAAACGACTCCCAAAAGTATAACTCGTTTCTTGAATTATTAAGGCATTTTGGGGTTAAAATTTTATCATTTTATAAAAAAACATAACACATAACTTGGTCGCAATCGACAACTAAACACTCAGACTCATCCCACTATGTCGTGGACACCCATACGCTAACGTGCCATATAAAATTTGAAGATATTTTAGATGATTACTTTGTGAGTTAAAGTGTTCATTCGAGACCGTAAATACAAGTTGAGGGGTTTAAAATGTATATATTGCATCAATCTTTTTCTTTAAATATCAGACGATTTATAACCGTCCGATCCTTGAATTTGACCGTTGGAGCGCTTCTTCCTACTTTAGGGCCAAATTCAAACACATCTAAAAAGGACAAAAATTAACAACAATAAACTATTGACATAGAAGAACGCTCAAAGCACTAAGCCAAAAAAACACTATTTTTTTCTCTTCTTCCACATTTTTCCGCCGCTTCTTGAATCTTGAGTTCTGATTTGGTTTTCATGTCCAAGATGATGATGAGATCTAGCCGTAAACCCCCACTTGCTACTAGATCTCCTGTTGGAATTCGAAATCGTCGTGTTCTTCAATCTACTCCAAACCCAATTCGAACCCCACCAGGTATTTTGTATAATTAGTAGTAATACTGTGTTTAGAGCTGGAAAGACAACAATTTTTGAGACCCCTTTTGCTTTGTTTGAGTTTTGTGTGTGTTGGAATGAAGAGAAATGGATGTTGACTGTTGAGTTTTGTATGATTAGTACTGTATTTAGAGTTGGTAGACCAAAAGTTGAGACCCCTTTTGCTTTTTTGAGGTTTGTGTGGATTGGAATGAAGAGAAATGGGGGTTGACTGTTGAGTTTTGTATAATCGGTACTCTATTTGGAGTTGGAAGACAAAAAATTGAGACCTCTTTTTTTTTTTTTTTGGTTTTTTGTGTATTGGAAATTGGAATGAAGAGAAATGGGTGTTGACTGTTGAGTTTTGTATGATTAGTACTGTATTTAGAGTTGGTAGACCAAAAGTTGAGACCCCTTTTGCTTTTTTGAGGTTTGTGTGGATTGGAATGAAGAGAAATGGGGGTTGACTGTTGAGTTTTGTATAATCGGTACTCTATTTGGAGTTGGAAGACTAAAAATTGAGACCTTCTTTTTTTTTTTGGTTTTTGCGTATTGGAAATTGGAATGAAGAGAAATGGGTGTTGACTGTTGAGTTTTGTATGATTAGTACTGTATTTAGAGCTGGAAAACGAAAAAATTGAGCCCTTTTTTTTTTTTTTGAGTTTTGTGTGTATTGGAATGAAGAGAAATGGGTGTTAACTATTGAGCTTTGTATAAGTACTGTATTTAGAGTTGGAAGGCAAATTTGAGACCCCTTTGTGTTTTGTATGTATTGGGATGAAGAGAAATGAGTGGCCGAGTTGGTTTGAGCCTGGGATTTCCATTGGGGTCCTGGGTTCCATACCACCTGCATGTGTTTCTATAGGTCGAGCTTGTCACACGGGGCTTGTGTTGCCTATTGCGGTTTATATTTCCTTTGTTGTTTGCGCACTACCAAAAGGGTAGCGGCTGTGGTTCCCTTGTTATGAAAACAAAATGGGTGTTTGAGATTTGTTATATAGCTGATTTAGGCATAGTTGTTGTTATTGTGTTGTTTTTCTTTTCGGGTTTTTGAATATAAACAGGGAACAAGTGGATAGTTTTGAAAGAACTAGCTTAATTTTGAATTTAAACAGGGACAAATATCCATGCTTCGTATAGTAGTTGAACTGTTTGCAAAATTTGAGACCCCCTTTTCCTTCTCAATTTTGATGGTCTCTCTTTTCTTGGGCTAAATTTTAGATTGTATGCAGGTTCTTTGAAAACTCAGTTGCCTAAGAGGGTTAGCAGCAGTGTTGAAGAATGGGAACTTCGTCCAGAGTACCATACCATTTCTTGTGAATTAAGGGCTTTGTCCAAAATGGTGCAGAACAAATTTGGTAACGAGGATGTGAATGCTGCTGATAACTCTGATTCATTGAATGCAAAGAGAAGTCCTTTATTCGAAAGGGGCAAGTTTTATGAAGAGTACTCTGCTAGACGGAATGAGAGATTGAAGAGGAAGAAGGGTGGTGACACTGTGGATGAGAAGAAACCAGTGTATGATTTGGGAGTAAGAGTTGAATCTTCCAAGAAAAAAGGAGAGCCTAAGATGTTCCAAAGCGCGAGGAAATCAGTTGTTGCTTCTACACCAATAGCAGAGAGGAGAGAAACTTCGAGGTATTTCTTGAGAAGTACAGCTAGTAAGGAGAACAAGAAGCCTCCTTTGCCAATCAGCATGGACAAATCTGTGGGGTTATCAGAGAGGAGAACTTCAGCCAGAAGAGTTGGGAAAATTTGAGTTGGAATGATTTCCCCTCTTATATAGACGTTTGTTGAACAAAAAAGTAAGTAGTAGTAGTTTTTGGATGATTTGGATGGCAAATGTAGTTAGTTCTGTCGCAAAATTTTCAGATTAGGGTGTTTGATGTTTGAAGTACAATGAAGAGGCTATGTAACTGATAGCTTCAATTCACTTTCATGGCTGATTGTGATATGAATTTTCATTTTTTTTTGTATTGCTTATCTTTAAGTTTATTGTGCATGTATTGATGGAATCTTTACATTGCAGAACCAAAAAAAGTCTATTGAACTACTTGCATTGAGAGTTGTGTCCTGTTTATTTTCAATCAATTTATCTCCACATGTAATAAGTCCTATTGATACAAATTATTTGGTGTTGTGTTATAGTTCTACAAAAGGAAGAAGCCAACAAGCTAATTGTGTAAACTACAGCAAGTTTAGACACAAAGAAGGAAAGAACAAAGAAAAATGAGAAGCCCCACCAATCTCAACAAAATTAACCAAAAAATTCAGCTGGAACTCAATATAAATATGTTCAACTTCAGGACACTAGATTTCCCTCACTAGTTCAGCCAGAAGTAGACATTTATATAAGCTGGAAAATGCAAGTTAAAATCACAGATGTTTAAATCAATGTGATAACAGATAACTTGCACAAGTGTATTAGCCAATAATGGAAGGCATCATCCACAAAATAAACCAAAGTAGCATTGAAAATTACTCCAGTAACACTATTTCCAATACATAATAGCTCATTCATCAAAATTTTGGTTACATAAGCTGAAGCAAATAGAAAAAAGAATTTGTTATATGGTCCTAGTTCAAGTCTTCAGAATGTCACAGGTTGCTAAACAACTCAAGTCTTCGGATTCTCTGGTCATGCAGCTTGTTATCCATATCAAGTTGTAACCAGAAGATACAGAAGGCCCTTTAGATACTCCACTATTTCAGATCCTCCCAGCTTGGAACTTCCAAATACTCTATCAACGAAAGTAATTGGAACCTACAAATAGTAAAATTCAACTTGAATTCAAGCTAACCTTTGGAACGAAAAAAAGTACAACATACAAATAAAACCAAATAATGAAGTGGTTGCAGGTGACTATTGTGAAGAACTGAGATGAAAAAGAAAGAAAAAACACGGGGTGGGGATGGGGGTGTGATTGACTAAGGAAAAACAACAATAATAATAATGAAGAGAGCTCTCGTAGCAGCAAAAGAATCAGAACATATTCCTGCAGTTTGAATCATTATTTTTCTTGAAATGAAGGTTATAAATATCAAACGGCTCACAGCCGCATAATACAATGTTAGGATAAGAGACAATTGGGGGATAGCAACCAACAAATCTCTCAGTTTGAGAGCATACAACTAACTAAATGCTTAAGAACTGCCATTAGGTTGCATCATTATTAATATTAGAATAGCACTTTGGACATCATAAATTAAGCAGTTAATAGCATGATGCAACAAGAGATAAGATTTTCTGGTCCAAACAAATGTCAATGCAGTGGATTAATTAGTATTCAACAGTAAATCCATGTCTGTAGCTACCTCTTCAATCCGGTAACCTTTTCTTGAAGCCCTAACAATCATCTCCATCTGAAAAACATATCCTTTACTGACACAAGAGCTTATGATGTCTTCTAGTGCAGACTTCTGGTACAGCCTTCAAAACAAGCAATTCAGTTTCAGACAATGATTATACAAATTACATTAGTTGTGAGAATTACAGTGTATAAGAGGGAAATGGAAGCTCTAGCATAAGAGTAAAATGCATGATGATCATTCAGTTTCTTAAGAGAAAAAAATCACACATAACAATGATTCCTGAGACCAAATCAATTTCCCATATAGAAGTACAGTGTCTTTTTTCCTTTTCTAATGTGGACTTCCCTCCTTTTAGTTTTAAGTTTGTAGAATAATAGGATGTCTTGACCAATTATAATTATTATCTCCCAATCCATCATTCTATTAGATTTATAATCTCCATGCCGAAGTCCCAGACATTAAGAAGTAATCCTAATCTAAGCAACCCCTTATGGTTTATGCAAAGTACATTTCCTAAATATGCTCATAACAATTCATCGAACCACTGATTTTCCTCTACTTCCAAATTAAAGCATACCGGAAGGATCCAGTTAAGTCTGATACACCCGGCCAAAGTAGTGTCTGTGCAAGGACATTGGCTCCCCTACTTGTCAATTTGCGCATAAGGTTCCATCCGTGGACACCACCACTAGAAACATATCGAGTTCCAGTAACTATATTGGCACCTGTCTCCATTTGTTTCCTAGACATAAAATTTGAATTATAGTTCTAGTGCTCACCATTACAAGAAAACTGAAATTTAAGAAAACAAATACTCACTTGATAAATCTTGGCAGGTATTTTGGCTGTAAAAAAGAGTATAAAAGAATCAACCATAAAATTTAAAATTCAAACAGAAGAATAAGCTTGGTATAGAGACTAATATTTTATGAGACGGACTAAAAATATACAGGCTCACATAATTAAATTCAGGAAGTCACTGATTTTTGGTCCTACACTATCAAGTTTCAGTTGTCCAAGGAACAAATGTCCCTTTTTCTTACTGTTGAGGGGTGCTGGATGCAGGGAAAACTACATCAGTGCAGGCACAGACAGGATATGCAATAATGCAACAATGACGGCCTGAAAAATAACGATTAATCCAAAAAATAAATTTAAATTATTCGATACACACACTCAGAACAGTGGATGATCCATGAATTACCAGAGCTATTTGAATCGTTTCTTTCCATGACATCAAGCATAAAAGAAACCCACTGCACACCACATATCCCCCCTTCTGTTCCTTTCCCAACAAAAACACTTGATGTTCCAACAAATAGATAAAGGACATTTCGCAACAAAAAGACAAAATATAAAAGGAAACCAAACGAGGCCCTTATCTTCAATCATACTTACATGGTGAGAAAGATCCGCATCCATAATAACAACAAAATTGCCTGAGGCATGCTTCAAACCATGAATATATGCAGTGCCTGAGATAAGAGGAATGTCAGAGACTATTCATGGCTAACATCTTCGTATGAAAAAGAAATCACGGTTATCATATTAAAATGGAAGTACCTAGACCAAGTTTCCGAGGTCGAGGTCTCAATAACTGTAGCAAACAAGAGAAATGAGCAAAGTGAAATGATAAATAGGTATGATCAGGGAAGCATAATGTGCAACAATGGGGTGAAGTAAGAAGCTACTAACAATACGATCTTCTCCATATACTTTCTGCAATTGTTTGACAATATCCTGTGTGCCATCTGGACTTCCATCATCCACTACTATTATTTCGAAATCAACATCCCTGAGTCCAGAAAAAACAAAATTTGCGATAAGAGTCTGCTTATGCATTTACATGATTTTATCACCTCTAAATATTGCATACGAAAAAATAGGCTGAGATTTAATTCAAATACAAGGGAAAAATGAATTTTAGTCCTCAAAATGGGATCATCTCCATCAAAAACACTAAATGATGCCGTGAACATGGTGTGCATTTTTTTTTGCGTCATTATAAACAACAATGCGGTTGAATAAAACAGGATCTGACATCTATATAAATCAATCTCTATAACAATGTCTTCTTCGCCAAAGCCTACTGTCTCGTGGTTGAGTATCGATATTATTAGCAATGAGCAAATAAATATGAAAAAAATGGTAAGCATGTAAAGGACAGAAACTAACTCCCCATCCTTACGACAAATAATGCATAGATCACCCAAATTCCTTATAAAAAGAAAGATCATCTTCGAAAATAATTTAAATGGTGTAAATTGATTCCGAGAACTGTTAAATGTTTTGACATAGCCCTTTCCAAATTAACTCCTGATAAATGATATCTGCCAACAACTCTCACTTGGAATTTAGGTGTAAGCCACATTATTTTCCAGCCTACCAATCAATGAATGTCCTCAAAAAGTTACAATCCTCACGAAAACTCCCAACAATCTATATTAAATTCCACAAAAACTAACCAAAAAGATACGATCTTTACAAATGCTCCTGCCCATCTAACTCAAATTTAAATCAAACTGTCATGAATCCACAAATAGTTGTGAGAACATGGGTGGCACATGAGCCGTAACTGAACATCTCACTCACTCTCTCACACGCACACAAAGAGATAGAAGCTAGGGGTAGAGAAAGAAAGTTTTTGAAAATGTGGAAATTGCTAATTCCTCTCTCCCTTCTATACCTATACTGATCGTGTCTTCTACCTTCCATCTAATCTCTCTATCACCCGATCTTCCTCTCTGATCTCTGTTTCGTTTCTTCTCTATACTCTCTTGCCTCTTTTCTTAACTCTCTCTATTTACTTCTCCCTTTCATTCTATACTCTTTTTCTAATTTTTCCTCTCCTATACAGTTCAAAATTGAAGACTACCCTTTTCCTAGATTTTGATGATAAAGATAACCGTTTTCACAGAGATCATAGCTTAATCAAATTCATCAATGCTTGGATATCACACAAATCATCTTAATAGCAACAACTTCAACAAAATTCCAATCAATTTCCTCTACACAGCTCCAATTCATGCCAAATTTAAGTTGCTTACAGAAGATCGAATATAAAAACCAAAAAACAATTCTTTTCTAATAAATCATAAAACCCATTTTTCCAGATGCAAATATTTTCCAAAAAGACAGAAATTTCAATATCAGCGATCACAAAAAAAAAAAAAAAAA